ACCATACCTGCCCGGCCTGCTTTCTTTTTTTTTTTAAATAGTGAGCGCTGCTGTAGTGGATGGGGGGGTGTAGGGGGGGTAGGGCTGTAACACTCAGGGCTGGGCCGCCCCACGCCCCCCCAGAGAGAGGAGGGCAAGGACAGCAACCCAAGCCACCTTCCCTGTTATGCAGCAATGGGAAAAAGTTTTTAATTGCATTAATGTATTTTTGGATAAAACGGGTAAAAAGCCTACTCTTACATATAGGTTGGTCTCAGTAATGAATGATAATAACACTACAACTTCTGCTTTGGAAACTTCTGAAAAGTTGCCCATGACTGTGTCAAAATTGGTCTTCTTTGCATATTCATGTTCAACATTCAGTAGAGCTGGATTTACCAATCCATCTTTGCTCACAGTTGATTGAAGAAAACTTTTTATTAATTTTTATTTCAAAAGCTGTTTTGCATGAAAAAAGAGAGACAAAAAGTTAGGAAAAGCCTTAAACATTAGAGTTAGTTTGGATGAGCTTTATAAAAATCCCATTTGATAATAAATTGCAGACATTGAAATATTGCTTAAGTCTTTTTTAAAAAAAAAATCAGTTCTTCAGAACAAATGAGTGAGAAATTAGAAAGGAAACAAAAAGCAAAAAATTTTTAAAAAACAATAAATTCTAGGAGCTTTTAAATATCTCTACATTAGAAACAGTTTCACTACAACATTTTCACCTGAAAATTCCTCATGAAGTTTTTATTTTATTTGGCAGAATTCCCCAAGTTTTTGTTCTTCTGCAAAGATGAGAGAAAAGGACTGAATGATAGTGAATGTTGACATTTAATCCATCGCTTTAGCAAGAGAATCTAGTTCTTGGTGAAAACCATCCAGGCTTTCGAACATCGCTCTTTTAGTTTCTGTTGGCACTGGGAGGAAGACTGTTTTTTCTTCTGTTTAAACACAGGAAAACGTAGGACTACAGGACTGGCCACGTAAACTGTACAAAGTGAGCTTGATTCCGAGCCCTTAGGAACCAACCATCGGAACAGAATGTGTGGCTGAGTCTGTGTGTCAGGAGCTGACTGTGTAACTCTGCGTTCTCTGATGTAACTGCCAGGTAGAAGACAGAATTTTTAAAAGAATAAGAAATAAAAATGTGCTCATTGGAGGTTCACATGTTCATTATTAAATCTCAGTTGTAATTGCTGCAGTTAGAATTTAGACCAACAAGATATCTTTTGGGGGACTAGTATTTTATCACCAACATTAATGGCCAGCACATGGTAATAATAAAAAGCAGAGTGACTTTTGGTGAGTTTTATTATCGTTTTTAAATTTTCTACAGACAACTCGCCCCTATTCGTCTGCAGTGGGGAGTCGGGCTCCCACCTCCCCACTCTGGGCGCGTGGGGCCAGTTGAGTGTTTGTTGAAGCAGCTCACGGAGCCTCCCTGGGATGGGAGAGGCTCCGTCCCCAGCTCCCTGACCCCTTTAGTCCAGGCTGGGAGGCCTCCCGGGCTGATTCTTTCTTTCCTCTGTGCGGTTCAAACTTGCTAGAACTAGTGGGCTGGGGCCTTTCCCTTCCCTTCCCCACCTGCCCCATCCTTGAATCTGTGGCGTGTTGAGCAGCTGCTGCCGAGGAAGTGAAGACCCAAAGTGAAACTGAGGCTCCGTGACAGAAGGAAATTGATGGGCCTTCGCTGTTCTCTGGGCCTGGGCTCCCTACCTGACCGCCTTGTGAGCCAAGTGCGCTCCACGTCCTGACGCATCTCTGCGGAGCTGGTTCAGGTGCAAAGGGGAGGGGAGAGAGGAGGACCCTGCTCAAATAGCAGTCGGGCCTTAAGGCCCTTTGGGCTTTCGCCCCACTCTGGAGGAGCCGCAGGCTGAGAGGGGCTCAGAGGGGAAAGCAGCGCGTTTCTCTAGGCCGCAGACCTCTGCTGAGAACGTCGCATGTGCCAGGCTGGGGCCCTCGGCTGCTCAGGGCTAGCTGGCGGGCTGGGCGTGGAAACTGATCAGCACTTCCCATGGGTTTGGCGCCACAATTATAGTCATCTGGTAAGAGAGCTGCGATCGTGGAAGCAGCAGCAACTCTCTCTGCCGGGGCGTCTGGGGGGCATCGAGGAGTGGAGATGTTGACCCCGTTTTGAGGGATGAGGAGGAGTTTTCCAGGTGGATGAAGGGCATTTCAGGCCTAGTGCAATGATGCCTGGGTAAGTCTCACCATGGGAGCAGAGGCGGTCCTGTTACTGGGCGTCAGCACCTTCGTGTGAATTACTTGGTGGAGTGGGAAGAACTTGGCCTTTGGGTTCAGGCAGGTCTGCAGTGGAATCCTGGCACTGCTTTTCGGGGAGCTCCGAGAGCTTAAGCAAGTTAATTCCCCTCTCTGAGCTCAGTTTCCTGATCTATAAAAGGGGCTGTTGTAAGGATTCCAGGTAACATGTGGAAACCCCTGGTGGTGGTGGTGGGGGGGGGTAATTCCAGATGAGTCGGGGCAGTTCTGACTCACGAGGGGTGAGGTTTGCCATGTAGGAGAATAGGCCTGGGGACTGCTGGCTGAGATCCTGGGAGGGCGGATGAGTTTTGCCTCCTTTTCCCAGGATGCCCGTGACTTTGGGGCTGCTGAGGCTGGGCCCGATGCCTGCTGGAGCCGCTCCTGCCCCTCACTGATTGGCTAGGAGCCTGGGGCACAGGGTGGCAGTTGGGGAAGGGGTGACTTGGCAGGCCAGCTCCTGTTCATTCCTCCTCTACCTTCTCTCTGGGCCTGAGGCTGGGAACCTGGGCAGCCAGGCCTCCTCCTCCTCCTCTCTGCACCCACGCAGCCTGCAGCACGGGGTCTCCACCTTCTCGCAGGCCTAAGTGGTTTGATAGCTTTCACTTTGATTAACTCAGTTATTCCTTACACAAACCCTGCCAGGTGGGTCTTAGCCCCGTTTTACCACAGAAGCTCAGAGAGGTTAAGTAATTCCTGAAGATCACACAGCAATAGAGCAGAGAGGGGCTCAGTTGAGGCCCCCGTGGGTGGGCTGGGCTCTGCTTCTGCGGACACAGCCTCAGATAGATGGGACTCACTCAGCTCCTCATGTTTTTTTTTCTTTTCCTAAAACTTTGGCACCAAAACTCTCAACTTCCTGCTGAGAAGTCCTTTCTCGACACCCACCCTGGACTTCAGGCCTTCCTGTTATCTTGAGCCTCCAGACGTTTCCCCCAGAGTGTCAGAAGCGAAGGGGCTGAGAGAGGTTAGGAGAGGTCACCATAGCACGTGGTTTTGGGAAATACAGGGAAGAACTGGTCTCAGTCTGGGTTTCACAACCTCCACAGTATCTCCAACTGATTTTACAGCTTGCTCCTTCGAGTAGTCTGTGACCTTTACAAATAAAAAATAATAACAACCGCCCGGGAACAGAGGCAGTAAAAACTGCCAGTTACTGAATGCTTCCCATGTGCCGGGTCCTGTTTGCTGAGTGTTTTATAGGTATTCACTTATTCGATCCTCAGGATAATCCCAGGAATCAGGTGCTATAATTATGTCCATTTTACAGCCCAGGAAACTGAGACCAGGAGAAGCTGGGTAATTTGTCCGAGGCTACACAGTTAGTAAGTAGCTGGGATTTAAACAGAGCTCTAAGTGTGTAATCACTATGCTGTTTCTGAAAATTAAATCCATCCTGAC